ACATACCAATGATAATTGCTGCAAACATGAAGAAACATAACATTTTGCCGAATTTTCGGATAGATTGTATGCCGCTAATCTCAAATATATTTGATAATGGAAGATGACTTTGGCAAATATGTGAGGTGAAGTAAGCGATGATTTGATAACTGAAATTTTTACCCTTACCGATTAGCTTTTATGCAGTTTCTAATCAACTATATGAATGAAAACATGGTTTCTCAATTTTCTATAAATAGAAATATTATTTGAGACAACTATGTAAATATTTACTTTAATTCATTGTTTTTGTGTTTCCCTTCTTGTTAATTTAAAAAAATTTTTTTTTCCTAAAGCTTCGTCTGCAACATCTATGTATTGGAATTGAAATTTAATTAGAATTCAGAAAAAAAGAGTTAGATTTGAATAAATGATTCGTCACTTCAGGTATCGAAACATTATTTTATTGAATTTGTGTAACAAATTATTTATCTGAGAAATATTCTGAATTCTAATTACAACAATTCGTAGCAGCCAAAAAAAATTGGCTTCGCCGACACGGACAATGAAGAATGGGAAAACGAAATTGATCTCGTTACAGCAATTATCTCTTCTGTGCGATCCTTCCATTAAAGATAATATTGAAAGCAAACTTTCTGCTTCTAAGATATGCAAGAAATGTGGACAAGTTCTAGCAATTCAAGTGAAATGCAATGTGATATGTTTATTTTATGGCATTGATATATTTTCGTGATCAGTTTTCTAGTTAAATTAATTAATTAGCGAGTATTGTAATGGGATGTTAATTACAAGTACGAATTACAAGTACAAATTTTTTTCTTTTTTTTTTTAAAGAGCTAAATTATGGGTGTCCTTACGTCGGATGTACTGTGAGCATGAAGAATTACAAGGAGGGACAAGGTGAAACACAAAATTTTTAAAATGGTCGAAATATTCAAATGAAAGCTTTTTATATCACATTGATTGGAATTAAACGACCAAAGGTTCAAACAGTTTTTGATTTATACGATTCACAATATTTCTCATATTTTTTTCACTTACTCTTTCATTTTACTATCTCTGAATTGACAGTTGAGGATGCGCTTTTGGATTCTGAAGCTTCCTTCATAGCTATGGTAGTTGCCTTGGATGCTATGCTCACCAATCTTTTACCATCATTGTACCAGTGCGTGTGGAACGACTGTTATTATGAACGATGTAATTCGTATGCCGCTAATCTCAGTTAAATATATTTGATAATAGAAGATGATGCTTAGCAAATATATAGCTTGAAGTAAGCGATGTTTTGCTAACTAAAATTTTTACTCTTTCCGATTAGCTTTTATGCAGTTTCTAATCAACTTATATTAATGAAAACATGGAAATTCTACCGTTTACTTTTCACCGGCTGCTCAAATATTTTTCAATTTTTTATAAATAGAATTGTTATTTGAAACAGCTATGCAAATATTTATTTCAATTCATCGCTTTGAGTTTGCTTTTTTTTTTCTTGTTTATCCATTTTCTTTTCATAATTTTACTTTTTTTTTCAATTTTCTTTTATCAAAAGTAAACTTACGATAATATGCAATACAAAGACAGCCATACAGTTCCGTATCCCAAATTTAGACTAAAAATTATCTAGTATGACTGAATTGGTCCAATCTATCATATTTTACTCTTTCTAAAAAGAAACTAAACTTTTTCGAAGACTTTTAGGTAAAAAAAAAATCGAAAGAAAAAAGGATTAAATGATGACTAAATCATTCGATTTATTACTTTTACCAAAGCAATAGTTGATTCAATAAATTCTTCTTAATTAATTGTCAGCGAATGTTTTTAAATACAAATTATCAGTAAATTTCTCACAATGAGAATTAATTGTCAGTGAATATTTTCAGAATACGAATTGGCGTATATCATAATCGGAATTTTTTATGCTATCCTCAGACTTCCGTCTTTTTTTTTAATTTTAAACTTTTTTTCGAAACGAAAAAGGGAAAGGAATATCAATAAATAATTACATCAATCATTATTCTGCCATTCATTTATCCGTATCAGTGATTAAATTATGCTCGGTTTTTTTGTCATAATTTGTCAAATATTATTCTAAATAAGACTATTTCATCCATATCACTGTCATTATCACTTTACTAAATCCTTCATCACGACAATTTCACTATCTTCTAACATATATTTCAGCATTCTTGATACTATTCGGCATTCGAAAATGCTTTCACATATTTTCATAATTTTTTTTCCCATCCAATATGTTTGTTGAAATACAGTAAATTTCATGAAATTATAAAATTGCAAAATGTCCTAAGTTATTATTATAAATGAAATAGTCAAAGGCTGTATTTTTGATTAAGTCATATTTTTGTCTTTTTTAATAGATTTTCTTTCTTTTTAATTTTTATATATTTTTAATAGTAAATTATATTTCTGAAACGATAGGGTAAATTTGTAATAAATCTCAAAATTTTAATATATAATTTTTATGATCAGTAATTTTTGAAAATATCTTCGTTAAAGGAAATTTTCCACTTTCGTTCTTAATTTCTTAATTACAAGAAATTCTACATTTGTATTTCTACAATACAAGTATGTAAATTATAATTAATGAAGCGATATAATAAATTTGTAGTGTATCTCAACTATACAATTCCTTTTCCTTCGAAATACATCGTTTTTGGATTTATTTAACGATGGGTCTAAATTTTAATTAATGTTGTAATTACTGTTATATTAAGAATTATCATTTTCTCGCAATTTTGAAAAAAAGAATAGTTGCGAAAATTTTTCAGACAAATGTTACGGTAACCGATATTTAAAAACTTCTTTCTGGTTGTGACTTTTTTTCAACATTTGAAGTAAAATTTTAGGAATATTCTGTCGGCTTTTTTTTTTGATCTGTCATCAGATTGTGATTTTTTTTTTTGATAAGCAAGTATACAACATGGTATTGTTTATTTGATTTGCTTAGGATTTCCAGTAAATATAATTAATTATTAATTATTTACTTTGTGGAATGGTAATAATACGAAACTTACGTGAGAAGTTGCGTGTTCTTACGTGGACCTTAGCACTATCATCATTGATACTTTCACAAGTTTGGTGACGATTACGAACAACAAAAAAAATGAAAGTGTTGTTTATTTCTCACTATATCTGCCTTACTATCTCATCGGTTAGGATAGTTTCTCTAATTCTCTCCAAAACTGCTGAATTCTTGACGCTGTGTTGCGATGAAATTGATGTATAATAATGATGCAAAATTTGAAATTCTTTTTCCGGATTGTGTTGTGGTATCCGAGACGTTTAGTTTGGACTGTGAACCTTTAACTTTTCATTGTTAGGCATTGGTCCCCTTGTTAACCCCGTAAATAACCATATCTAAAGGTTAATATTTCGATTACGAATGTAATCGATTTTTAAAATTTTTGAAATTTTGAAAATTAACTGTTTTTGAACAAAAAGAGATGACTGTTATTATCTGTGAAATATAAGATTTGGTTGATCTAACACTTTTATATTGAATTATGTGATATTTATACTTCCTCATTTATCTTAACGTTTACTTATGTAATTTCATTTTAGCAAGAAATGTTAGTGATAAAGTTAACGTACTATCGTTTCTTGAAATAAAATGGACGAGGTAACTTATTCGGCTCAGAAGGCTATTGCATATGACAAGGCTTGTCGATGGGATGCCGCAATTTACTTTTACATTGTAAATTACTTTTTCATTTGCCTCAGACAAATGAAAGGGATGATGAATGTAATAAATAATTTGATTAAATAATAAGCAGTGAAACAGTAAGTAATAAATAAATAGACTGTAAATAGTAAAATAGTAAATAAGCAGTAAATAAAACAGTAAGTAAATACAAGTTGGCTTGCTTATATATAATTAAACCAAATGTGTGAAAAGTACTTGTATGATTAGGCATTTATTAATGTAACTAACTTATGAGTAAGTTTCCAAACTAATAGATGAGGTAAATAGATGAGTGGATAAATTATATGTGGAAAGGGACATATCGGTTCTTAATTTTATGTGATTTTAAAGAAAGTTGATAACTAATTTAATGAAGTAGTTCGATGTACACTTCATTGAATCAATCTCCCCCTTCAAGCAATTTTTTTTCATCTATTTCGAGAACTCTATTTCTAAAATAAATTTTCGTAAACACTTTTTCTTCAGAATTCTGCCAAAAGTTTCTTTCAGTTATAAAATTTCTAATACATTAAGTTGGTTTTTCAGTATTTTTATATTCTACTTTTTTCATTATTGTACAATAGTTATTAATGATAACTCATATCCAAGGATGCTGCTGATTCAATCCTGGAACTGATACGGCAAGAAAAAATCCCACCTTCATACAAAGAGAAAGCAGAAGAATACGTGAAACGTGCTGAAATAATCAGATCACAAAGTATGTTTGGTTTTTTTTTTTCTTTCTACTTATGCATGTAATTATTTGCATTAGCTTGTGATTGAACAATTTCGAAATTTTCCAGGCAAATATTTTTCTAAAATTATTTTTCAATTTATATAAATTTTAGTTTTGCTTACTAAAATATTTGACATATATTTACTAATTTTACATGTTTATATAA